GTGTGCCCTCAGGTTTTACTTATTGTTTTGTGTGAAAAGAAAAATTTATATTAATTTTACTTTGTTTAATACTGATATATTATATTTATATTATATTACTTATATAAGACAAAGTCATTGTATGATCTCATTTACGTTTACTTTACTACATTTATCAAAATAATTAAAAAACTTATAATAGAATTGCTTATACAGGGTCCGGCAAAATGATCTCCCACATTTTAATCTTTAATAAAAACGCCATTATAAATGCTATTTAGATTTTATTTTTATTAACTGAAAATGTATGCTATGCCATTTGTTTTTATTAAGTTTTGAAAATTACAGAGTCCAAGTGGCGACCATTTTTTTCGATACACATTCGAAGCTGATTTCTGAAAGTTTCCATCACTCGAGCAGTAATTTGAGGCGATATTCCTGTAATTTCTTGGCGTATTGCTGCTTTCAATTCGTCAATGGTTCGGGGATGGTGTTGAAAAACCTTCGCTTTCAGGTAGCCCCAAAGGAAAAAGTCGCATGGGGCAAGATCGGGTGAACGCGCAGGCCACCCAACGTCTCCACGTAACGAGATTACGCGTCCTGGAAACATTTCCCTTAAAACGTCCATTGTCCTTCTTGCCGTATGAGCCGTAGCTCCATCCTGTTGAAACCACACATCCGGATGTTCAAGTTCTCTAAGTTTTGGTTCCAAAAAATTGCGTAGCATGTCGATATATCGATCGGCAGTTACGGTAACCGTCACGCCTCCCTCTTCAAAAAAATAGGGACCCCAAACGCCAAAAGATCCAACAGCACACCAAACGGTAACAAATGGACTGTGAAGTGGCCTTTCATGGAGCTGCCGCGGATTGTCTGGTGCCCAGTAGCGAAAATTCTGCTTGTTCACACAGCCAGACAGATGGAAATGAGCTTCGTCACTCGTTATTAAAAGAGCATTTTGTGGGATGTTTTGAAGAATATCGTTGGAACATGCTCTGCGATTTTCCCAGTCCCGTTCACTAAGTTCTTGCACGATCATCATTTTGTATGGGTGGAACTTCAGATCGGCGTGTAAAATTCTTCTCACAGAACGATCTGACAAACGCAAAGCAGAGGCATGTTTAACAGCTGAACGGCTAGGAGATCGTTCAACTGCTTCTCTTACAGCTGCAACATTTTCAGGTGTCCGAACACTTCTGGGTCTACCAGTTGATTTTCTTTTTAAGGCTGAACCTGTAGCTCTAAAATTTGAAACCCACAACAGTATTGTTTTGCGATCTGGAACTGGAGCATGTCTACCAAGCGCGAAGTGAGTACGAAAAGTTCTTTGCGTCGTAATCACAGATTCGTTACTTTTCAAAAATGTTTCGATAACGAAGGCACGATGCTCACCCGTCCAATTCATGACGACAACTGAAATGGCAAGGCGTGAGCTACCAACCGACTACGCTAAGCTCCCCCTCTCTTCAATGATTCGGGCACAGTAGCGGTGCAAAATGTGGGAGATCATTTTGCCGGACCCTGTATATGTTTTGTATTTCTTACATTTTATAAGTATATTTGTAAAACCTGTAAATGTGGTATATTCTTGTAAATAAAATTATAACAAATCAAATAAAGAGCAATGAAATATTTATTACAAATATTTATTTTAAAGATTTAAGTAATATTTTAATATTCTGGTATTTATTGTATGTCCATAAGAAAAAACATATTATTACGAAAAAACATATTTATATACATATACAGGGTCATCGAAAAGTATCGGACCCCCCTAATATCTTCAATTAGAATGCATTTTGGAGAAAATGTCCAATAGCAAAGTTGTATGGTTTCAAGCGAGGAGTAAGATGATGACCTTGACTTTGATCTTGACCATGTCCTTTAAGGTCATTTCAAGGTCAACCTTATTTTTTTAAATGGAACCCCCTACATTTTATTGCATATTTTTATAGCTTATCTCGAGAGCTTTCCAAAACACTATAATAAAACATTTTTTCATTAAGTACTTTTTGAGTTACAACTTTGCTATTGGCCATTTTTCCAAAATGCATTCTTACTGAAAATATTAGGGGGGTCCGACACTTTTTGAATAATGTATTTTCTTTAAACCAATTAATTGGTCTCATTATTCCGCGCACAAAAGTATTAAGGTTATGATTACTGAAAACTAAATAATATTTTACAAGATTTACATTTTGTGTCAAAAAATTGTTAACTTCAAACCTTTATAACTCAAAAAGTACTTAATGAAAAAATGTTTTATTATAGTGTTTTGGAAAGCTCTCGAGATAAGCTATAAAAATATGCAATAAAATGTAGGGGGTTCCATTTAAAAAAATAAGGTTGACCTTGAAATGACCTTAAAGGACATGGTCAAGATCAAAGTCAAGGTCATCATCTTACTCCTCGCTTGAAACCATACAACTTTGCTATTGGACATTTTCTCCAAAATGCATTCTAACTGAAGATATTAGGGGGGTCCGATACTTTTCGATGACCCTGTATATACGAGGTGTGATCAAAAAGTAAGGTGACTTTTCATTTTTATAAAAAAATATTCATTTATTCATCCAAAATTATGTTATCCCCTTCAAAATAATCCCCCTCTGATACAATGCACTTGTGCCAGCGCTTTTTCCAGTCGTCAAAACACTTCTGAAATGCACTTTTGGGTATTGCCTTGAGCTCCTCCAGCGATGCAGCCTTAATCTCCTCAATCGTCGCAAATCTTCGTCCTTTCATGGGCCTTTTCAATTTTGGGAAGAGGAAAAATGTTTCGTCACCAGTTATAACCCTTTTGAGCAGATCAGGATCATCATTGACGTCGTTCAACATGTCTTGGGCGATGTTCATGCGACACTGCTTCTGATCCAAATTAAGCAGTTTTGGAACGAATTTCGCTGACACACGTGTCATACCCAAAACATCCGTTAAAATTGATTGGCATGAGCCAAACGATATGTTAAGATCATCAACTATTTCTCTAATCGTGATTCGACGATTTTTCAACACAATTTCTTTCACTTCCTGAACATTTTCGTCGGTTTTTGACGTGCTGGGGCGTCCAGAGCGAGGTTCATCGTTAACATTTTCTCGGCCCTCTTGGAATAACTTATACCATTTATAAACATTTTTTTTGCTCAAAGTTGACTCACCGTACGCCACTGTCAACATTTCAAGAGTTTTTGAACACTTAATACCATTTTTTACACAAAAATTAATACAAACTCTCTGCTCCATTATTTTCAAAAGCAAAAAATCGCCGAGCACGCAAACACGAGTCTAACCTTTATGCCTCTCACATAAAAACAAAACATGCTATATAGTCAAAACTGTGAACATATGATCGTGACGAGTGTACCAACACAACAAAAAAAAATTTTTTAAATTAGAGTGTACAGAGCGCGCGAAATTCAAAAAGTCACCTTACTTTTTGATCACACCTCGTACATTATATATGTACGTCAAACGTAAAATTATGAATACAATTATTGAAAGAAATATACAAAATATAATGCAATTGCTTAATTTTAAACTTCAATTAAAGCAAAAATGTTTAATATAGATAAAGGTTACGCATTTCGCGAGTTTTCTCCGTGTCCAGATCCATTCTTGGAATACCAACGTTTCGTGAAGCTTGCAGTCCACTGCAAGGCTGCTTCTCGCTCTGATGAAGTGGACTGCAAAGTTCACGAAACGTTGACATTCCAAGAATGGATCTGAACACGAAGAAAACCCACGAAACACACGCATAAGCTTTATATAGAAAACACCCGTGGAAGCCTTACACAAGAAGATGTTTAATATATATTAATCCCCATTAAAAATAATACAATAAGATAGGATTCACACGACATCCGACATATAATGATACAATACCTAGTAAGACAGTAAGTTTATTTTCTGGAGACAAAAATTCTCTTATTGGATCATATGTGCATAGTATAAATCTTGCATAAAAATGTTTTAAACTTATTGACGTAAAGTATTCATAATTAAATCTCTTTTAGCAATTCCACTAGCATTCTGTCTTCCTTCATATAAAATAGCATATGCCTCGCTGCCGCCAATTGTGTAGAAGGGCGGCATACTGGTGGTCGGAGGAGTTGGCAGAACTCCGCAGGGCCACCGTAGCCGCCCGGCGCACTTACACCCGCGCCAGGCGGCGAGGCATCGACGCGGAGATCGAAAGGGCCGCTGAGGGGCTCCGCAGCGCGCGGAGTGCCCTCAGAGCGGCCATAAGGCGGGCAAAGGCCGGTGCCTGGAGGGAGTTGGTGTCCTCCCTGGACAGGGATCCGTGGGGAAGGCCCTACAAGATAGTAACGAAAAAGTTATGACCGTGGGCCCCCCCAACAACGGAGACCCTGGACGTCCCGTTCCTCGACGAAGTGATGGCCACCCTCTTCCCGGCCAGGGGCCGGGAGATCCCGGAGAGGGTGGGCCCACCGGAGGGCTGGGTCGAGGAGCTGGGCGTCTCCGGGGAGGAGATGGCGCAGGCCTTCGCCCGCTTAAAGGGTAGACCCCATGCCCCGGGGCCGGACGGCGTGCCCGGCAAAGTCTGGGCAGCCGCGGCCCCGGTAATCAGGGGCAGAGTGAGGCAGCTTTTCACGAGCTACCTCAAGGAGAGTGTCTTCCCCAGGTCGTGGAAGAGGGCCAGGCTTGTCCTTCTACGTAAGGTGGGCAAGCCAGCGGAGAGTCTCTCCGCATACAGGCCTATTTGCCTGCTGGACGATGTGGGAAAATTATTCGAGCGAATTATCGCTGCCCGCATCGTCCAGTGTCTGTCTTGGGGTGGTCCCAATCTGTCCTGCGGTTCGGGAGGGCCGATCGACGGTCGACGCGATCAAGCAGGTGCGTGCTCTCTCGGAGCAGCTGACCGCGGGCGAGGATGTGGCGTTGGCGGTGTCGCTCGACATCACCAACGCCTTTAACAGTCTGCCGTGGAGCCGGGTGGTGGGGGCCTTGAGGGATCACTTCCTCCTGCCCTCCTACCTGGTCGCTGCGGCTGAGGACTACTTCCGAGATAGACAGCTGGAGTTCCACGACAAAACGGGACTCCAGCAGCGGAGGGACGTGTCGTGCAACGTTCCGCAGGGGTCAGTGTTAGGCCCCCTGTTGTGGAACATCGCATACGACGCGGTTCTCCGTGCGGCCCTGCCCCCCAACTGCCACGTAGTGTGCTACGCGGATGATACGCTCGTGGTGGTGGGGGGGTTCGACCTGGGGAAGAGCTGTGGTGACGGCCAACGTAGCGGTGGCATGCGTTGTCGGCGCAATAAGGAACTGGGGCTGAGGGTGGCCCTCGCCAAATCGGAAGCCATGTTCTTCCACAACGGGATTAGCGGGGTGCCCCCACAAACCTCAGTCAAGGTGGACGAAGTCCGTGTCCCGGTGAGACCCAACCTCAAATACCTGGGTCTCACCTTGGATGGGGTTTCGTCGATCACTTCGACGACATAACCCCGCGATTGGGTCGTCGGGCCGATGCATTACTCGGCCTGATGCCCAACCTTCGTGGTCCAAGTGATGGCGTGAGGAGGGCGTATATGTACGCGGTCCTGTCCGGGGCCCTCTACGGGGCCCCGGTGTGGTGCGGCGAGGCCCTGGCCGGCCGCCGCATCCAGCAAAGGCTGCAGAGCGTGCGGAGGCAGCTGGCCTTGGGTATAGCAAGGGCCTACAGGACCGTGTCGAATGACGCCCTAGCGGTCCTCGTGGGGGTCCCCCCGGTGGAGTGGGTGGCCGACGCCCTGGCGGAATCCTATGTCAGGGTCAAGGCCATCAGGTTCCGGGGTGTGTCGTAACCCCGAGGGCCGTGAACCTCATTAGAGAAGACGCCCGTTGGCGGGTGTTCCGAGAATGGCGCAACGGCCTGAGAAACAACCCGCCGACGAACGGGAAGAGGACCACGGGGGCCATCCTCCCCTGCCTGGACGAGTGGGTGGGCAGGGGATGGGGCGGACTCACGTTCCACCTGACGCAGGTGCTCATCGGCCACGGATGCTTCGGTGAGTACCTGCGTCGCATAGGGAAGGAGCCGACGGCGCAGTGCCACTGGCATTGCGATGGGGCTCGGGACACCGCGTAGCACACGCTGGAGTTTTGCCCGGCGTGAGCGCGGTGTCCTGAGCCAAGAGATTGGCGAGGACCTCTTCTTGCCGGCGGTAGTGAGGGCGATGGTCGGCAGGGAGAGAGCATGGACGGCCGTCTCCTTCTGCGAGCGAGTGATGTTGCAGAAGGAGGAGGCGTAGAGGAGGAGAGAGAGAGCCCCCGATGGTCGGGGCCCTCCCCCGTCGCTCCCGCCGGAGGGCGATGGAGAGCGGAATGGAGGGGGCGGAGGTGGGCGGCCGGGGGGTCGTCGGGGATCACGTGGGCGCCGGCTCCAGCCGGGCCGCCCGCGCCCCGGGCTCCC